GGGGAAAAAAGTGCAACAATGAATAAATGGAATTCCAAAATTTCTGTACATGTTCACTGAAATTAATAATAATAATAATAAAAAGAACAAGCAAAAAAAATAGAAAAAAGGAAGGAGGCATCTCACTCCCTGATTTTCAAATCCTACTACACTGCCGTGGTGCTTAAGACAGCGTGGTACTGGTGCAATGAGAGACACATCACATCAATGGAATAGAATTGAGAACCTGGAAATCAGCCCATCTACCTATGATCAACTGATTTTTGACAAGGAAATGAAATCAGTTAAGTAGGCAAACAACAGCCTTTTTAAAAAAGGGTGTTGGCAAAACTGTAAAAACACCTGCAGAACACTCAAGCAAGATCCACACCTCACTCCATATAAAAAAAAAACAATTCTAGGTGGATTATGGACCTAGGACTAAACCAAGGACTATAAGCTTCATTAAAGAAAAACTTGTATGAACTCTAGTAGTCCTAATCCACAACATAAACAGTCTCCCACGTATCTTGAAAAATTTACAACCAGGAGAAGATAAAATAGATGAATGGGACCTTCTAAGAATAAAATCTGTATGCACATCCAGAAACTTCTCCACCAGGGTAATAAGGGAAGCCACAGACTGGGAAAAAGTATTTGGTAATGACATGTCAGATAAGGGACTTATATCAAGAATTTATAAAATACCTGAGCACCACAACAAAATAAAGGTAAATAATCCAATAGAAAAATGGGCACAAGATATGAGCAGGCATTTCACCTAAGAAGACATTCAGATGGCCAACAAGCACAGGAAGAAATGTTCAAAATCCCTAGCTCTAAGAGAGATGCAAATCAGAACAACTATGAGATATCATCTCATGCCAGTCAGAAATGCAAAATTTAATAGAACAGCAAGCAACAAATGCTGGCGAGGTTGTGGTGAACCTTGAACCCTTATTCACTGTTGGGAGGAGTGTACAATGGTGCAATAACTCTGGAAATTTGTGTGGCGTTTTCTCAAAAAGTTGCAAATAGAAATACCATTTGACCCAGCAATTTCACTACTGGGAATACACACTAAGAGACCATAACTGACATTCAAGCAGATATATACACACCCGTGTTTATCGCATAGTAATCTTAATGCAAAGTTGTTGTATAAGATGGAGTCGAAACTGACTCGTAGCTGATCCTCAGAGGATGGTTCCTTTAGAACTCAAGCACAGTTTCTTACCACTAGGTCACCAGAGTTCCGTTTTGGAATTGTTGTTGGTATGTGCCCTCAAGTGCTCAACAGCGTTTCTAAATCTGAATCATTATGAAAGCCGACTTGCCTATCTTTCTCACTAGGATGGGCTCAAAACTTTACTGGTGAAGAGACTATTGGGTCACAGAAGTAAGAGACTTCCTGTCTTTCCAAATGCTTCCCTTTCCATTAGCAACCTAGTCCTTAGCCCCTGTGCTATCAAGACTTCCTTAAATATGTTGGAGATGGTGAAGATGGTGCCGCATAGGGCAGGGCTCAGATCCATTGTTCATAGGGTCGCTATGAGTCGTAGTCAATTGGCACATAAAAACAAGAACTGGGCCCACACAACCTTACAGTAGAAGATGGAGAGAAGTCTCTCAAACCACGGCCCAGAGGAGTTAGAAGGAAGAATGCATTCTGCAGGCCCAGGAGCACTCTCCTGTGGAAAACAATAGGGTAGGAAGTTCCACAAGGGATCAGCTACCACGGGGAGGAAGGATCACAACAAGAACCCAGGAACACAAGTGAGACTTCGGTTTTGTCTCCCATTTACCTCAGAAGTTACTGCTCTCCATCTTCTTAAAAAGCTGGTGCACCACTCTGATTTGAAGATGAAAACTCTGGCTCAGACAGCAAGAGAATCAGATCATTTTCAAGGCAGTGCTCTCTTTGTTCAGCCCAGCAGGTCCTCCAGGTGAGTTGAGAAAAGGCCACTTCCCAGGAGAGAAGCTTGG